CGGCCATCCCAATTTCGCCGCTCTCCGCACTGCCGTCACCTCACGACTCCTTTACAGCCTCCCTCCCACCCTTCCTCCCCTTCCCTCCTCCCCGGCCCCCCCATGCCCCTCCTGCATCCACGGCAAACTCAAACAATCCCCTCATCACAGCCACCCCTCCTTTGCTCCCGCACCAATTGACCTCGTCCATATGGACCTCTGGGGGCCCTCTCCCACCCGCTCACGCCAAGGCCATCGCTACATGCTGGTTCTTGTTGACGATCATAGCCGCTACTCCACCGTTTTCCTCCTCCACACAAAAGATCAGGCGCCGACCATGATCATTCCCTGGGCAGAACAATGCCGCACCCACTTCAAACGTCCCATCGGCCGCCTCCACTCTGATGGGGGAGGCGAATTCCTCAATCGCACTCTCTCTCACTACTGCACCACTCATGGCATCCAACAGACCCACACTCTTCCCCACTCCCCACAGCAGAACGGCATCGCAGAAAGCCGCATCCGCGAAATCACTAAGATCGCCCGCTGTCTCCTCGCTCACGCCTCCACACCCCCTTCTCTCTGGGGCTATGCCCTCCTTCATGCTTCCCTCCTCCTCAACCTTCACTCCCATCCCCAACACACTGCCACTACCCCCACGGAGCTCTGGTCAGGGTCCAAACCTGACGCCGCTGGACTCCGTGTCTGGGGTTGCAAGGCATATGTGCTCATCCCTCCACCTGAACGCACCCACGGCAAGCTCGCTCCTCGTGCCCTCGAGTGTGTCTACCTTGGCCACAACCGCGACTCGCCCGGTTACCTTTTCCTCCACCCTCCCTCTGGTCGCCTCATCCGCAGCATCGACGTTGTGTTCGATGAGACCACCCCATACTACTCCTCCCCACCACCAGACCCTCTCCCTCCTCCTACACGTCCTCTCGCTTGGACCGACACTGTCCTCCCTCCCCTCCTCCCTCCAGCACCTCTTCTTCCACCCCTCCCCACCCCGCTTCTGCCACCTTCATCTGCCGATGTCTACGATCCCACTGCTCCAACATCCCCTGCACACTCCGCAGCTCCCCCTCCCTCCTCTCCTTCCCACTCTCCTTCTCATCCATCCCAGCAGCAACAGCAGCAGCCGCAGCAGCAGCAGCAGCCGCAACAGCAGCAGCAGCAGCAGCAGCCACAGGGGCAGCAGCAGCAGGGGCAGCAGCAGCAGCAGCAGGGGCAGCAGCAGCAGCCGCCGCAGCAGCAGCAGCAGCAGCAGCAGCAGCCGCAGGGGCAGCAGCAGCAGCAGCAGCAGCAGCAGCGGCACCAGCAGCAGCAGCGGCAGCAGCAGCAGCCGCAGCAGCAGCAGCAGCAGCCACAGGGGCAGCAGAACCAGGAGGGGCAGCAGCCGCAGCAGCAGCAGGGGTTCCAGCAGCACCAGCAGCAACAGCGGCGGAGGGCGACTGCCTGCTCCTCACCTTTCCTCCTCCCTCGCATGCACACCCGCTCTCTTGATCCCATCCTTGGCACTCCGCCACCTTCCTCCCTCAGCCAGCTCGAGGACTCCCATGAGGAGTTCGCCATGGTCCAGCGCCACACTCCCTCTCTTTCCACCCTCTACCCCGACCTCCTCGGCGCTCTACTCCTTAGCGCGATCTCCGCTCCCACCATCTTCGTCCCCACCACCTTCCAGGAAGCTATCACCTGCCCTGACGCTGACAAGTGGATAGCCGCTATCTTCCTGGAATGTGAGGCGTTCATCCGCAACGACTCCTTTATCGACGTTCCCCTTCCCCCTGACGCCAACCTTGTCGAGGGCAAGTGGATCTTTCGAGTCAAACAGCTGCCGGGAGAGGAACCAGTCTACAAAGCCCGCTATGTTGCTAAGGGGTTCACCCAGACCTGGGCTGAGGACTACTGGTTCACATTTGCCCCCACCCTCAGGCAAGCCACCCTACGCACCCTTATGGATATCGGTGCGCGGGACGACATGGAGATTGACTCCATGGACGTCTCCAACGCTTTCCTGCAAGGTGAACTGCACGAACGCATCTTTCTCCGCCGACCTCCCGGGTTCCATGCTACGTTCCCCGACAACACCGTCTGGCAGCTGAAGCGACCGGTCTACGGCCTGAAGCAGGCACCACGAGAATGGCATGCGAAGCTGTCTGCTACTCTCCAGTCCCTTGGCTTCTCCCCCTCCCACTCCGACGCCAGCCTCTTCATCCGCTCTTCCCCCAGTCGCTTCTTCATCTCGGTCTACGTCGATGACATGATCCTGCTCGCTGACACCAGGACTGACATGGATCAAGTGAAACGGTCTCTTCAGGAACGTCTCAAGTGCAAGGACCTTGGTCCGCTGCAGAACTACCTCGGCATGGCTATCACTCGTGATCGATCCGCCCGCACCATCACCCTCTCCCAGTCCCACTACATCGGCCAGGTCCTGGAAAAGTTCGAGATGGCACAGGCCAAACAAGTCTCGACACCCCTCCCCTTCGGTCACCAGCTTGCGCCACCCACCTCCCCCTCCACCTCCTCCCGGCCCTACGCCGAACTTGTTAGGTCACTGATGTACGCAATGATGTGCACTCGTCCCGACCTCGCCTACCCTGTCAGCGTCCTTGCTCGATTCGTCGGCCCCGGCCGCCACACTGAGGAACACTGGACTGCCGCCAAGCGAGTCCTCCGCTATCTTCGTGGCACCAGGGACCACGCTCTCACACTGGGTGGATCTTCCCCCCCCCTTCTCTCTGGCTTCAGCGACTCCTCCTGGGCAGACTGCCAGCCAGACCGCCGCTCCTCCCAAGGCTATGGCTTCACCCTCGGTAGCGGCCTCATCAGCTGGCGCTCTACTCGCTCCTCCGCCATCGCCCTCTCCTCCTGTGAAGCTGAGCTCTATGCTGGCACCATGGCCGCGCAAGAGTCCCGCTGGCTCTGCTTCCTCCTAGCTGAGCTTGGTGTTCCCCAGCGCTGCCCCACCCTCTGGTGTGACAATGCCAGCACCATCCATCTCACCCAAGACCCCGTTTTTCACGGTCGCTCCAAGCACATTGAGCTCCGCTATTTCTTCATCCGTGAACTCGTCCAACAGAATCTCATCGCCGTTCGCAAGATCGCCGCTGAAGCCAACCTGGCAGATATCTTCACCAAACCACTTCTTCGCCCTGCGCACTCTGCTCTTCTCCGCCTCATCGGCCTCGCTCCCCCAGGCGCGCCTTGATTCAGGGGTTGCTTCCCTCAAGCCTTTCCACATCTCTGCAGGTTAAGGGGTTGTGTTAGAATCTATCTTCTCTTGTAACCTGCATAGATGTTATAGGATAGGCTAGAGATAAGCACCCAAACTTAGTTTGGGTGTTCAAGCAGGGGTTACCCAATTTGTAGGTTGGAAACCCAACCTTGGTCCAATTATTGGACCCCAAAGGTTGGGTTGGGTAGAATTATTGGTTCACACCAATAATGTTGGCCCAACCCCAACTTGGCCAACATTATTGGACCCCACCAATAATCCCCCAACCCAACTTCATGGGTGGGGTCCAATAATGGTCACCTAGGCTAGGATCCAACCCATTCCCTATGTAAACCCCCATTCTCCTCAATTCAATAACAACTTCTCTTCCAACTCTTATTCTCACACTTTGGCTATGGGGGTGTGTCAAAATGTTATTGTCTAGCCTGCAGTGGGGTACTCTATAGCGAGTACAACCCAATTAGGGTTTCCTATTTGTATCATGCTGCTCCTAGTCCAAACACCTTCCTTCTTCAATTCTCTTCCAGAAACCCTAAGCCCTAGCTACTGGCCTCTAAGCCTATGGCTCCTAAGCCTACTGCTCTCTGACTGCCTAGTATTCTGATAAGCAGGAGCAACGGCAGTGCCAGACGCGTGATCGAACAGTGAAACGGCGTCTGTTGCATCAGTCATAAGAAACAGTTGCAGGTCGTCGAGCCAAGTGGCAAACTCAATCGGGCGACCGTCAGGCTCAAACGCGAGAACATTAAGCGTCGCCATGCTCGCAGCGCAGGCGAAGGCAACAGGCAAAGGCAGTAGACACAGGCAGCAGACAAGGGCAGCAGACAAGGGCGGCGCGCAAAGCAGCCGCAAGCTGCGCGTGGGCTGACTAGGTAATGCGCTAGCAGCGGCGGCAGCGCACGGGTGGGGCAGGCGGCCGTGGCATTAGGGCTGGCGGTGCGTGGGGCTGCGGGGCAGCGCAACGGGCGGCGCGTGGGGTCGCGGGGCTGCACGACGGGCAGCGCGCAGGGCTGCGGGGCCGCAGGGCAGCGCGACGGGCGGCGCGCGGGGCTGCGGGGCAGCGCGACGGGCTGGCAAGGCGCGCGCGGGGCTGCGGGGCAGCGGGACGGGCGGTGCGCGGGGCTGCGGGGCAGCGCGACGGGCGGGCAGGGCGCGCGCGGGGCTGCGGGGCAGCGCGACGGGCGGCGCGCGGGGCTGCGGGGCAGCGCGACGAGCAAGGGCAGGGCGCGCGCGGGGCTGCAGGGCAGTGCGATGGGCGGCGCGCGGGGCTGCAGGGCAGCGCGACGGGCAGGCAAGGCAGGCAGGCTAAGGCAGGGCGTGGGGTAGCATGGTAACCGCGAGCGGTAGGTGGTGGGCCCTAAAAACAATCGATCCTGAGGTCCTAGGGACCTCCTGCTCTGAATACCATGTCAGAATAGCTAGGCAGGAATGGAATGACTAGAAAGAAGTTGGGTACAAATATGATACCCTAAAGGGGTTGTACCCCATATTGGCTACCCCACTACAGCCTGCACATATATAACATGCATATAATTTGACAGGGTGGAGGGGGTCTTATATTGTCAAGAGCCATTTAGGGGGGTATAACTCGCATATACCCGAATAGAGTACCTCCTCCCCCCCCATATTAAAGACCCGGGGGTCTGGAGGGGGTCTTATATACGGGGGTTTACGGTATTACAAAGGCATGCATGGCACCTTCAATGCGGCCGCCAGTCTTCATTATCTACCTCATGGTGCATGTCTCGCTAATCCCTCCCTCAAATTTTCGTCCCTATCTCTCTCATCCCTCGCTTGCCGCCACCGACTTCGCCGAAGCGATTCTGCGAAGAGCAGCAGCCTCCCGTGGCATGGTGGCATCCACAAATGTTGAGAACCTCGATGACCTCTCCTGCAGCAGCGCAGCCGGCGAATCAAGCTCTGCCACCTGGCCGTCCTCCAGCAGCATGACCCGATGGCAGTCCACAATGGTGTGCAGGCGGTGAGCGATGGTGATCACCGTGCACGCTGCAAACGCCCCTCCCCTCACCGCTGCCTGCACCGCCGCATCTGTCGCTGTGTCCACGTTCGATGTAGCCTCGTCCAACACAAGCAAATGCGAGCGCCGCAGCAGTGCGCGTGCCAGGCACAGCAGCTGCCTCTGCCCCACACTCAGGTTCCCCCCTCCCTCCGCCACCTCAGCGTCAAGCTGACCTGGCAACGCCCGCACGGCATCCGCCACGCCTGCTTGCGTCAGCGCCTCCCACAACTCCACATCCGCTCGCACCCTTCCTCTGTCGCCCTTCCCCTCCCCATGTCCCCCACTGCTGGCATTCTCGTCCTCCCCCACCCCCCCTGCGACAGCAGTGTAGGGGTGGAGGTTCCAGCGGATGGTGCCGGAGAAGACCACGGGGTCCTGTGCCACCAGGGAGAGGCGCGACCGCAAGTCCCACAGCCCAATGCTCGCCGCATCAATGCCGTCGATCACTATCCTCCCTGCACTCAGCTCCACTATTCGATACAGCGCCATGGTTAGCGTTGTCTTTCCACTGCCTGTGCGCCCACACACGCCCACCTTTTCACCTGCCCGGATGGAGAAGGTCAGTCCTTTCAGCACGGGGGGCAGCTCTGGGCGATACCTCACCACCACTCCCTCTGCCTCTATCACTCCTTGCTGCGGCCAGTCCGCAGGCGGGCGGCGGGATTGGACCACATCTGGCGCCTCGGTGGGCAGAGTGGTGTACTCGAGAATGCGCTCCACAGCGTTCATCTGCGATTCCAGCTCAGCGTTCATCCTGACCATCCAATTCATGTACCCCGTGATCGACAGCGCACTCGTCAGCGCTAGCCCCGCAAACCCTGCAGCCCACGAGCCCGTGCTGCTGCTGCTTCCCCCACCGGCCGCCGCCGCCGCAGCAGCAGCAGCGGCCACGCCACCGACCACGCAGAAACATGCAGTGGCAAACACACTGGAGGCGCCGATGAGCTCGAGGCGCAGCCCGAGCCAGCGGTTGGACGCCATGGCTGCGAGGTAGGCCTGGGAGGCACGGTCGAGGTTGAGGCTGTTGCGCGCTGTGAAGGCGGCCTGGCGGTGGAAGGCACGGACCGTTGAGAGGCCGGTGAGGGTCTCGCTGAAGTGCGCGAAGATGGGCGAGCGTGCCAGCGAGTCTATGCGCTTGAGCTCCCGCGAGGCGGCAATGTAAATGGTCTGAATGCGACGGTAGAGGAGCAGCAGAGGGATGAGCGGCAGCAGGAAGGGCGGCGTCACGATGACTATCACCAGGATGGCAAAGACGACCTACCGGGAGTGGGAGGGCGTGGGAAGAGGGGAGACGGGATAGTAGGTAGAAGGGGAGAGGGGGAAAGCTGGGGGTGGGCATGGGAAGTCACGAAGTGCAGGAAAGCAGGGAAGATGTTGCATATATGGCATCAATACCTGAATAAACCAAGAGGCAGACCTGGAAGAGGCAGCAGCAGACCTGGAAGAGGCAGGAGAGGTAGGAGAGCAGCGTGTCGGGCAGCTGCAGGTCCATCTGCTCCATGTCCCTCGTGAAGCGGTTCAGCAGCCGCCCGGACGGCTGTGAGTCGAAGAATGCCATGGGCAGGCGCAGCACGCGGGCCAGCAGGCGCGAGTGCAGCGAGCGCGCTGCTGTGAGACAGCCCAAAGCGAGAAGTAGCCCGCGGAGGGAGGAAAGGAGGGCTGTGGCTAGTGTGGCCAGGCTGTAGACGAGCTGGGAGGGGAGAGAGGGGATGAGGAGAGCATTGGGAGAATGGGGGCAAATGGCGAGCATGGGGAAAGGAATGAGAAAGCGGGCAGAGAAATGGAAGAAAGAAAGGAAGTATGTGGCAAATGACGATGACAGGAGGCGTGAAGTGTGTGTGTGTGTGTGTGTGTGTGTGTGTGTGTGTGTGTGTGTGATGCATGAAGATGAAAGGGGACAGAGCAATCAGCCTGGTGAGACGCGCAGGGAGGGACTCAAAGCCTGGAGCAGCAGAGTGAAGGGAGCAGAAGCTGCGGCACTTTTAGTCAGACCGGAGAAGCTTCGAGGCATGACAAAGAATGGAGCAGAAGGGTGAGGCAGCAACAGGACAGGAGGCGTACGAGGAAGAAGGGAGCGGAGGAGGAGCCTTGGGTGGTCTTGGCGGTCCACACAGCGAGCCAGGCGTCACTGGCCACCTTGAGGGACTGCGACACACCGAACACCGCCAGCACCGCCACCAGCATGAGCCACCCCGCCCGCCCGCCCCACGCCCTGAGGTACTCCCAGTACACGCCTGCTGCCACCCCCCCCTCAGCACGCCCCTCCTCCTCCACCAGCTGCCCCACCGCCCTCTGCTTCTTCCCTCCCCCTGCTGCGCCACCACTGCTGCCTGCACTGCCGCTACCACCACCAGCAGCGGCGGCGGTGCTGGCTGCTGGACCTGCGGATGTGGAGGAGTGAGCCAGCAATGGGCGTGTGAGGTCGTTGTCGTTGTCGTTGTTGTCGTTGTCGTTGTTGCTGTCGTTGTCGTTGCTCTCTGAAGCACCACTGCCATGGCTGCTGCTTGCACCACCCACCTTCCCTGTGTTGCCGTCGCCGCCGCTGCTGCTGCTGGGCCTATGTGCTGCCTCTCTGCTGTGTGCACTTGGCTCGGTCGCAGTAGCAAGAGCAGCAGCAGGGCCGTCTTGCCACGTGGCCTTGCCTTGCTCATCCGGCTCCTGCTGCTTCTCGTCCCACAGTGCCAAGTCAACACCTCTGATGGCCCAACGAACAGAGAAACGCAAAACGGCAAAGCAGAAAATGATGCATGAGGAGCACAAAGCTTTCGCCTGCAGGCAGAAACAACCCTAAACCAGAGAATCCGTCCTGAGCGACCATGCCATCCCGATGGGTTTCAGTGGATTTTATTCTTATTGTGCTTGCAATTGTTGATGACCAACAGAGATGCAGCACGTGCATGCGAGGGAGGCACGCACATGACGCACGCACATGATGCATGCACATTTTGCAACACGCTTTCTGCCATTGCTCCTGGGAGAATGTGTCAAGTGCTATCGCCTGGGAGCTCACCTGAGGGCTCACCTGAGAGCTCACCTGAGAGCTCACCTGAGAGCTCACCTGAGAGCTCACCTGAGAGCTCACCTGGCCTGCAGCTCATCAAATGTGCCCATGGCAGCCACACGGCCGGCTCTGATGACGATGATGACGTCAGCATGGGATGCATACTGCAGCTGATGTGTCACCAACACACGCGTGGTCCCCGCCAGCTCACCACAGATGCACTCCGTGAACAGGTGGCGGCCTGTGAGGATGGAGTAGAGCACACACACGTGGCAAGGGATGGTTGTGTTGTGTGCAGCGATTTGTTTGTGAAAGGACAGCACCGAACACTAATTCACTGCTTCCCGCATGCTCTTTGCCGTGCGCGCACGGCAAGTGCACCCACTACTGCCCTCGTGCGCCGAAGCATACAGTACGACCATGCCATGACATACCATGCCATGACATACCATGCCATGGCATACCATGCCATGACATACCATGCCATGACATACCATGCCATGACATACCATCCTCTGTGCGTACCCACCCACATGCCATGCACCACGCCCCCCCAGATGTCATGCCATGCGATGGCTAGCACCTACCCCCAAGCCATCCCATACCATACCATACCATACCATACCATACCATGCCATGCCATGCCATACCATACCATGCCATGCCATACCATGCCATACCATACCATGACATGCGGTGACATGCCATGCCATGCCATACCACCCCATACCATACCATGGCATGCACCCACGCCCACCGACATGCTCATAGGCAAGGCAAGCACGCACCGACATGCGTGTCGACAGCACTGAGCGGGTCGTCCAGCAGCACCACATCGGCCCGCGCATACACCGCCCTCGCCAGCGCCACTCGGTGCTTCTGCCCCCCCGACAGGTTGATGCCTGCGCGTGGACGTGGGGAGACGGGCGGGCGGGATGGCAGTGGGCGGGGCAGCAGAGGAGGGCGAACGATTCTCAACTTCCCTTAGCTGGCAGAGCGGCAGTGGGACGGGTGGGCATGAAGACGGGCAAGGGGACGCAGTAAGGTGGGCTTGTATGGGCACCACCATGGCTTCAAACCACCATGGCTTCAAACCACATGTGCTCAGCCATGGAACTATTGCGGCTCTTGCAATGTTCATTCCGTTAGTGAGCAAGAATTCATACTCTATTGAGTTTCACTAACAGCTGGTTGAGCTGCTCACCTCTTTCGCCGATCTCAGCCATGTCGCCAGCAGCCAGCATGGCGAGGTCGTGCCTCAATGCGCACACGTCTATGGCGCGCTGATACCGCCCCTCGTCCACCGCTGCTGCACCTGCTGTGTCGCCTGCTGCCGCCATAAGAATGTTGTCACGCACTGTGGCGTTGAGAATCCATGGGTCCTGCCATGCCGTGGTGGGGGGTGGCGCATGGGGAAAGCGGATGTTGGTGCCGCCCCCCCTCCACTGCTGCGTCGCGCACCAATCCATATAAGAGATGTCATGCACTGTGGCATTCAGAATGCCATGCACAATGGGGAGTGGGGATGGCAGATTGGTGGTTGTACGTGGAGGGAGAAGCAGCGTGTCGCGTTGCTTGACTGGAGTCGTATCGTATCACACCCCACATCTGCGTTCGCCCTGTCAACCGCTCCCAGAGGAGAGGCACAAAGCATGAACCCAAGAGAGAGTCCAGCAGCATGCGTATTCCTCCATGTGCAGCACACTGCATCCTCCTGTCTTCAGGTTCAGGCCCACATGCGGCGCCTGCACAGCCTGCTGCGGGGGATGCACCCTTCCCAGCCTGCCATGCACCATACAGTCGTGCATGCAGGGCCATGCGCATGTGCATGCACAACACTGGTGGCAACACATGAGCATGTATGCATGTCGCATCACCATGCACTCGTCTCACCTGGCTGGTGTACGCCACACGGCCGGCCACCGACACGCTCCCCGCCACGCGAGTGATCTCCCCCAGCAGCCCCGCCAGCAGCGACGACTTTCCCGCCCCCACCTGGCCATGCGGGAGGAGGCAGGGATGATGAGAGGCGGAGGCAGAGGGAGGAATGGGATGCAGAGGGAGGAATGGGATGCCTTTCAGAAGCGTTTGATCCTGGCGGGCAGAGACGACTTACTGGCGACCAAATGAGAGGAGGAGGGGAGGACAATAACAGGCCAGCAGGGAAGAGTGGATGAGTGAGGGGCGGTGCAGATATGCATCACTGTGAGGGGCGGTGCAGATATGCATCACTGTGAGGGGCGGTGCAGATATGCATCACTGTGAGGGGCGGTGCAGATATGCATCACTGTGAGGGGCGGTGCAGATATGCATCACTGTGAGGGGCGGTGCAGATATGCATCACTGTGAGGGGCGGTGCAGATATGCATCACTGTGAGGGGCGGTGCAGATATGCATCACTGTGAGGGGCGGTGCAGATATGCATCACTGTGAGGGGCGGTGCAGATATGCATCACTGTGAGGGGCGGTGCAGATATGCATCACTGTGAGGGGCCGTGCAGATATGCATCACTGTGAGGGGCGGTGCAGATATGCATCACTGTGAGGGGCCGTGCAGATATGCATCACTGTGAGGGGCGGTGCAGATATGCATCACTGTGAGGGGCCGTGCAGATATGCATCACTGTGAGGGGCGGTGCAGATATGCATCACTGTGAGGGGCCATGCAGATATGCATCACTGTGAGGGGCGCTGCAGATATGCATCACTGTGAGGGGCCGTGCAGATA